CCCCTGGTGAAGACCATGGTGAGGCAGGCTGTGCCCCTGCAGCCCATGGAGGTCCATGGTGGAGCAGATATCCACCTGCAGCCCGTGGAGGAGCCCATACTGGAGCAGGTGGATGTGCCCAAAGGAGGCTGTGACTCCGTGGGAAGCCCACGCTGGAGCAGGTTTGCTGGCAGCACTTGTGACCCTGTGGGGGACCCACACTGGAGCAGTCTGCTCCCAAAGCACTGCACCCTGTGGAAGGTTGCTCCCACACTGGAGCAGTGCGTGAAGAACTGCAGCCCGTGGGAAGGACCCACGTTGGAGAAGTTCATGGAGGACTGTCTCCCGTGGGAGGGACCCCACACTGGAGCAGGGGAAGAGAGTGAGGAGTCCTCCCCTGAGGAGGAAGGAGTGGCAGAGACGACGTGTGATGAACTGACCACAACCCCCGTTCCCTGTCCCCCTGTGCTGCTCGGGGGAAGGAGATAGAGAAAATCGGGAGTGAAGTTGAGCCCGGGAAGAAGAGAGGGGTGGTGGGAAGGTGTTTTAAGATTTGGTTTTATTTATCATCACCCTACACAGGTTCTCACTCTTCTCTCCTACTCAGTTTTGAATGGTAATAAATTGAACTCATTTTCCCCAAGTCGAGTCTGTTTTGCCCGTGACGGTAATTGCCAAGTGATCTCCCTGTCCTTATCTTGACCCATGAGCTTTTTCGTTATATTTTCTCTCCCCTGTCCAGTTGAGAAGGGGAGTGACACAGCGGCTTTGGTGGGCACTTGGCATCCAGCCACGGTCAAACCACCCCACTATGTTACAAACAATTTCTTTCTAAAATATTCAAGATATATAAATGTTACCTTGGAGAAAACTATCAGGCCTCTGAACAGGGGAAATTCTTAGTGTTAAGTGCTCGAAACCAGTTTCTAACAAGCTGTGAGACACTGGTGTTCACCAGCTCTAAATTCTTACTATGATTTCACTAAGACTAAAATCATTACTTCCTTTTAATGTTTAGAAACATTGAGATAACTAATTATAATTTGTGCTTTCTTTAACAAATTAGCTTTTAAATATGAAAAAGATTTCATTTTTTTTCTTACCATTACATGTAATAGTGGATCTAGTTCATTTCAAAATCCTTTTTTGTATACTATAATTTAAATTTCTATTAAATGCTGAGCACCAAATGGACAAAAAGTATAACTATTAACTAATCTATGTGGCATCACACACAAGTTGAATCATTTAGTATCCTCAAACACAGTATAAAATATGAAGCATATGGACTAAACTCATGCTAAACTACCCAATGTTTAAATAAATATTTATTGATAAAGTATACAACTCTAATCATCAAACCTTTTGCAAAGGCTCAAGTTAGCAATTATGAGTAAATGGTTAGCACTGATAATGGAACAGAAAGTAAAAATTAAGAAAGAATTATTTTTAACTGTTTCCTGCTTAATATTTTTAAAGAGGACTAAAGTCAACATTTTTAACCCCTTTAAATAAAGTCTTTCAACCTGCCTAATGTTTCAAGGAATTTCCCACTATACCCATTTTCCTACTGTATCTTTTTCAGTAAGTTCTCATTATATCCTATATAAATATCTGAAAAGTACATAGCCCCTGTAAAAAAAAAAATTTAAAAAAAATTGCACTTTTCTTCATAGCTTAATCAAAAGATTAAAATTGTATTCAAAACAGCAGCGGGGGGGACCTGCTGAACTCAAACTTAGATTAAGGGTCCATTCTATATGCTCTCTACTGATCCTGAAAAGGATACATAAAGGCATGCCCAATGATGAAAAGAATGCAATCAATACAGCTCAATTTGTCTCACACTCCAGAATATGCCTTAGCTAATTAGAAGTAAAAGCTAAGTTTGTGATCTGAGATATAATTGAACTATAAAATCCACAACAAAGATAAGTTGTAGCTTTGAAATAAAAGCATTTTACTACCTAACCTGACCTATTCTGCCTTTAACACCCACTGAGAATTGTAGTCTTACATCTTTTGGGCTGATGGTTTTTAGTGAGCCTTTTCAACTTAGTTAAAAAGCAGAACAAAAATCAAGAACCTCCTGCACAAATGCAGAAGCTACCAAAAAAAAAAAAAACCCAACCCCAAAAAGCTTCCATGTAACATAATTGATTGGTAAATTTGACCAAAGAGCTCAGATTGCCCTTGAAATAATGAAAAGTCCAAAACACAGACTACATTAAATAATTAAAGGAAAATTAAGTTCAGAAAATATTAGTAATGGTGAAAACCTTTCTGAGATTTTCAGCTTTTAAAGGAAATGTCTATTAATTTACTAATTAAATTTACTGGGGTAAATCCAGGTTTTGTCCTGTTAGGATATAAAAAAAGAGAGGGACCTCCCATTTCATGTACTGGCCATCTTTCCTGCACACAGTCATCAAAACTACCCAAAAAGATGACTTAAGTAAATGTTTTATGGAAGTTTTTTAAAAAATAGAGACATGAAGAAAAATGGAAACCAAGTTTTCCCTATTAAAATAGTTTTACTGTATTTTTAGAAGGAATTCTTATACTACTCTGATTTGATACCTTATGGTTCAGACAAGGTGATGATGATTCCTGGAGATGCTGTAGACTAACTTCTTGCCAGATAAAAACTGCTTCTGAGTAAGTGCTTCTAACACATTTCAGAGCAGTTCAGAAACATGCAGAACGCTAACGCAACACAGCAGCACACTAATTTTATGACAGGTTGGAAATCAGCACCTTTACCATGTTATCAGTTCTCCATTGTGCCACTTAGCTTTTGTTCTGCTCCACTGGCACAAAAAGAACTTTAATTCATGGAAACGTAACTACAGTAAGTATGGTTACGCACAGGCTTCTGCCATTGCAGATTTGAGTCATAAGACAGAAGTAAACCCAACTGATTTCCCATATTGCAATAAACTGACCTACTACTGACAAGTTTATTTTTAAGTATTTACCAGTATTTCCCTAAAGATCTGGACAGAGAGTTGCATATCTGGGTCCTAAGATAAACAGAAGACTAAGTCTTTCATTTCCTGAAGGCGGCCTATAGTTTCCTACTATTATTATACAGCAGCACTAATAATCACAAATGAACTCAAAAGCTAAGAAAATTAAAGCTATAATCTATTTCTACACAGTGGCTAATAATGAGAAAATCTTTACACCTTTTTTTTTTCCACGTTGAAATATTGCTGCTAATAACCTGAAAACAAAATAACTCAGTCCAGACTGCATTGTATCAATATCTAAAACACTTAGAATTTGCAAGTTTATTCATGTTTATGTCCTACTTTAAGTACAGAGATAGCATAAGACAACACATCAGCTGCATTCTTACCAGTAACTGTTCTTGGTCTTCCTTGGCATCCTTGTAAGAGGTGGATCCAGGCAACCAAGATGATAATGGAGTTTACAAGTATCACACAGTAGCAGTAGGTGTTGGTCGTGGTTCTTCTTGCAAATTCCACAACTTTTAATGTAGGTAGCAGAAAAGCATTATAATTACATTTGAAATCATAAAGAATAAACGATACATCCCAGCACATCCCCCATTTTCAATACAAACATGTGGCAACTTCAATTTGAATGCATCATTTAAGTGCATAATTACTTTTTAAGGAGCGTCTACCTATACACAGTAAAGAATAAAAGGCACCTAATATAGTTAACTTAACAATAAAATGGCTTTCAATCTGATTTTTGAGGACTTCTAACCAGTAAGTAATTACTTGATATTTCAACAAAATGTACCAGTGGCAAATGGAAAAAATACTACCTGTGCCATCCAAACACTTCAATAGAAAATCATGCTGCTATTATCAGTCTTAACAATCATACACTTATTTTAATAATGCAAGCATCCTGAAATAGTTCTGTGCTGCTGTTGTGTTGGGCAATGTATCAACTCACAGGAAATTACATTTCCTTTTTATTATTACTATTTTACTGGAATTGAAATTTTAGTTATTTCAAAAAGGTCAGGTGTTCATTGATTCCGTTATAAAATGGGAGGAACTAAATTACTGGATTTGAATGAAACAGAACTAGTAAAGCATGACTCATATTATTTGTTTGTGTATATGTCTAAATTGCCAAATCCTCAGCCCAATGCCGTGTTCTCAAGATTTCCACCTCTACAGCACTAGAATTAACTTTTGCTTATCTAACCCATCTTCTTCATTTAGCCTGCTAGCTGGGCAAGATGCTGCCCACTTGCTGTGGCTGGAGGCCTGGCTGCTGCTCTCTAGGTAAGCGGCAGACCATGACACTTCTCAGCTGGTAGCAAGAGAAGATGATCCAAGATGATATGTATATTTTGCACAGTCATGCTCTGGGATCCTTGTATATTTTCCACTCTTAGGCTTAGTTAAAACCCAGTCAGTAGCTTCACAACTTACAGAAGAGGGGGAAAGGCAAAACAATGACAGAGTAGCTAAATGCATTTTATTTTCTTCGGCATTAATAGAAATAGAAGTAGTGAAATTTAAAACACAAGATATCCCAAAGCATTTGGCAACCCAAGAGCAAAAAGTAAAAATTCTTATATGACAAGTGTTTTAGGTACCCAGCCACTGTGACTAAACAAGCAGCAGCACTGTTCGCAAAATCATCAACACAGATGATTTGCATTCAAAAGACAAGATGACCAATTAAAAGTTTTTGCACCACAGAGACAAAGGATGCTTCTATTTCAGCTGTAAAGAGTTACTTTTGTCCTTCAAGCACTGCTGTCAAATTAGCAAAAAAAACCCCCAAACTTACTGATGCATGCTAAGGTGAAGAATTGACTACTATTCAACTTAGCCTTCAGAAGTAAGTAAAACACATAGACAACTCTGAAGCATTTTGTTAATCAAAACCGAAGCAAACAATTTTCTCCTAGCCCTTCTGTGAAACTATAACATACTAGATATTGTATCTATTCTGTCAAGATTTCATTACTTGCCTATAGAGTACAGCCGGAAGCATAGATGTCTTTTGCGTTCCTCCCTCCTTTTTACTTGGTTTCCTTTCCTTAGGAGCACGTAAAATTGCTGGTATGTTCAATTTCTATTGGATTTGAACAAATGCAGTATACATGAGTCTTGAGACTTTTAGAGAATACCACTCCAATCTCAATGCATGAAGAACAAGACTCAACTTCTGAGTGGGAAATTGCTTAGCCTGCTGTTTTGCAGACAAGAGCAACTACAGATGTTTACATTACAAAATCATACTGGGATAAAGTAATATTATACTCATTTTTTTCAAGTCAATAAATAAATACCACATTGAAATACTACCTTTACAATTTTTCTTCAAGCTTAGTACAGAGGGATGGAAAAGGATGCATTTGTTTAGGCAGCTGAAACAAGCAAAGGGAAATTCACAAAACTGACAGAAGAATACTGAGGCAGTTTATTTTCCCCAACATCCCTGCTACATTGGAGCTTGATAGGTTAATTAGAAAAATTATCTTATTGGACCAAGCCCTCCACAAAGCGGATGAGATTCTCTTCGGGTTTCTACTAATCTGCAGTATGGTAGCTTCTCAGACAGCAACCATCTATCAAAGTCATTTCTCAGCAGCCCCGTGGGTCTGCATCTGTTCAACCAACTGGAAAAAAAGTGTCATGCAAGCTGTGCAAATGAATTCTGCTTAACTTTTCTTCTTCTTTTTTTTTTTTAATTTAGTAACATTTGCACCAGGAAATATATCTGTGAATACGTACTCAAAGCCATCTTAAAAAGGAGTGGAGGGGGGGGGGGAATTTTGATTCAAGAGATATGTTGTATGAGAATCCTTCTCCACAAGTAGAAAAGGTAGGCAGACAACTAGAACCAGAAGAAACTAGCATACCTTAAGAACTACTACTGCATAAAGAAAGGGTAAGCTTCATTTTCTGAACAGCAGCACAAACTCAGCAGTATCAAAGGATATGACAAAATTGTGACCTAATTGTATGTCTGCACTTTCAAAATGAACAGTTTCTTCAATCTTCCTTAAAATCATAATTGGAAATCGTTTCAATCTCTCTCTGACACCTAAAATGTCCAGTGCCATTTAATACCTTTGACATAAAACATGTATCAAAACACAGCAAGAATCTATACTTCTCTCTTTTCTCTGTATCAGTGAGAACAAAGATAATGGCTGGCAAGAGGAAGTAATCCAAACCTTCTCTTCTCCTAGATATTTAAATTAATTTGACCAAAACATTCTGTTCTGTCCAATTAAAAACCATCACTTACATACTGCAGTTTTAAAGATTTGTATCTTATAAATGCCATAAAGAATTACCATATCATTTGAAGCCTATAGTAACTAAAGACAATGTGGAGACAAAAATGGTAGGATTAACTCATGCTTCACGTTAAGATTCATCACAAATGACAGCTCAATCAGTTACACCAAATGAAAGAATTTTGCAAACAAGATCGCTATTACAACAACAAGATTAAGCTACAGGTTCCCAGTAGGTGGTTTGCAGAAGTCTAGATATTTCAATCAGGAAACATTATCCCCAGAGTAAAGCCTGGGTCTGATCAAATCAATTTATTCGGCCCCAGAAGTGACAGACAGAAACAAAAAGGCCTATTCTTGGAAAACCAGGTCTGCCTATGAACTATAAAAAGGGGCGGGGAGGGTGGTGGCATGTGTGGAACCAACCAACCTGTCCAATGATTCTACCCAGCAGAGCCCAAATGCCTTGCCCTTCATTTCGCAGTTTTCCATTCATATTTTGTAGCTCTTCCAAGGACTCACACAGCTGAAAAGTTACAGAAAAAAAATCAACAGGAGTGAAAATCCATTAAGAGTTCTTCAGTCAAATTTATTCAACCTCTTACCTATCTAGGGTACATTACTTTATTGTGGGATTAAACAACAATGGAACTCATGTCAATGTAGCTGAGACCAGTGCAATCATTCAGCAATTTAATGGAACTAAGATGAAAACCTGGGCAGCCACCTGTTGTGTAAAGAAGATCTGAAGCATTTCAGCATGGAAATAAAGTCAATTAGAAGGCAAAACTAAAATCCAGCAACATCTTGTATGTGTTGTCCATACTACTTAAGCTGCAAGATTATAACAAGTAACCACATAAATGAATTAAAGCTCTATATTGCATTACCAAAGAACATTCACTCACTCTCATAGAAAGAGATATAATTTATTAAAGGATGCAAGCAGAAAAAGAAGGGTTTTTTTTTTCTTCTGGAAGGAACTGTTAGTTACCACACACCATAAACAACCTATTAATTTGGTTAAAAGCCCCACGCACAATCTCCTTCCTCTTTATCATCTTCGTGCAGTTCACAAGGACCTGCTGCTTCAGTTCCATATGTTCTCATTTAAAACGCACACCCAACAGTTTAAGAATTAATAGCAACACTATTTTTTGTCATCACTAACCATCACTTGATAGGTTGCTGAATTCAGCAAGAATTGCAGCATGTCATCTGTCACAAAAGATACAGTATTTCTATGTTCCATTTCAAAATCTTTAAAGATTAAAATAAAGAAATAATTATTTAGTAAAAATGCAATAAAAACACAAAATGCTTTTTTAACCATGATGATGAGTTAATAAAAAATTACATTAGCAACATTTTAGGGGTGCAATGCCATCATTTATGGGCCCCAAATTTCCTATACCCAAACAAAACACTCAGAAGGCACTATGGACGTGTGAATACTGATAATTTAAGCCTGAAAAATTAGCTAAGTCATTAAATCTAGGATGAAAACAACTAGAGCTGGAGTTGACATAAATAAATAAATAACACTCCAACAATCCTAGATTCCCAGTTATCAAGTAGGGTTCCAAGCAGAGAACCAAACAGGTTCAGAAAGAACCTAGAACGGCACACAAGCAAAACAAAAAAACACAGAGAGAGGAGCCAAGCTCTGTTGTCTCAAAGTCTTAAATGAAATGCATAAAAAGAATGAAAAAAAGGAGGGCCTTACGACACAGTTCACTCATGAGAGGGACCTGGCTGTCTATGTGCAATTTGTTACTGGAGCTCTCAGCGAGGCCAGTTAAAGAACTTGTGCCCAGCCAACATATGACATTTTTAGAAGTTGATTCTGCTTGCATGGTGGGGATGGGCCACAGAATATTTTTAAAAGAAGAAATATATTTTTAAATATTAATTTTAAAGAAAGAATGGCTTTTATCTTTCTTTCTAAGTCATTTTGTTTGGAAAGCAAAATGCTATCAAAGTTAACAGTAGCAATACTAAAACAGTACAACGGTTTATTATCCCTTTTCCTTCACCTTATTATACTCCACATGAAGCTTTTCTTGCTCATTTTCTAATTTATCCTTGATATTCTTCTGTTCAGCCATATTCTCCTGGATTTGAATCATGCGCATATTTCTCTCTATTTAAAAGAAAATTGCATTATTTCCTATCCTTGGCTACATTTTCAAGTTTTATGCACTGAAAACAGTGAAGCAACAAAAAGCATAAAACAGTAACAACACAAAACCACAAAACTATAGCCTATAGTTTTATTACAGAGACTGAGTAGAATGAATAGTCATAACATTTACTTTCTACTGCGTAACTGGTATAGTTATTTAAATGGTGAGCTTTGATCAGTCATCTAGTGAACAGTCCCAAAGACAAAATCATGCCATTCCACACAGAAAGGCAGGAAAACGTAAGAAAAAAAAGACACTACAGGTATCTAAGCTTCCACTCCCTTCTTAGCAAAGACACTGCCTACTATTTATATATTGAAAAACTTTCTTTTCTAAAATCTTTTTAAAAAAATCACTAACTTTCTGTGTAAATACAGATACCAAGCAATAATATACCTGATCTAAAATGAAGTCATAATTCATATTCATCTATTAATAATGAACAAATACAAGTAAAATAAAAAAGCCAATGAATCAGCCCAGTACAGATACAGCAAAGCGATAATTTTTCATTGAGAAAAGAAAAAATGTAATTTTCATTCTTACCAAGGTAATAATTCACAAAATCAGCAGTGAGAGCTGGTTGTTTATGTTTTCTTCTTCCATCAACACTGGAACTAGTATCTGAAGTATCCACTGGAAAAATGTCTGTACTAATTCCCATTAACTCGGCTTTGCGCATAAGCTTACGTATGGCTGAAGCACTGCTAGTAAGCGGTCGTGGTAGCTTCTCCCTGGGAACCCAGGCCTGAGGCCTGGTGGTGCGAGCCAGCTCTGCCTTGGCACGATACTGCTGTAGCCTGGCGTTGATGCGAGCCTACAATAAAGAATTCCATAAATTAAAAATGTAAGGGAACAATTCAAAATTCGTTTCGAGTTAAACCCTTTTGGAACACATCTGTAATTTATTTGTATTTTAAAAGCTGCATGGTTTAATCAATGCTATTTTCACTCTGTAACTCTAAGACTCAAGAAACAGCCGCTGATACAGACATTTGATTTTACTTCAAAACGCATACACAAATAACATTATCCTTTCAGTAGGTTTTGGAGGTATTCACAGGTTTCTTGATGAGATTTCCCCACCAATGAAAGTAACACAAATGATTGCCGGCTTTCAGACAAGCCCTTTTAATAATGATAATTTGATGGGACTGTGAGAACTCACTGCTGGGAAGAGCCTTGGCTCACCTATCAAAAATACATTTAGATACACTTTAAATTGCTATCTACATGAGCAATAAAAGTTGATGAATAGCATTTTTGCCATATTTGACATCCTTTCATAGGAACTCCTTTCTCAATGCCATATCTCCTTATAAATATTAAACTAGCTGATTATAATGTGCCAAAACCAGAACCCAAACAGAAGCGAAGTAGGCAAAGAGAAGCTCACGATGTATGTTGTTGATGACATCTGTATATTTGTGACCATCTGGGAGATCAACCCCAGAAGATCACGTTGGAAAACACTGTCTGAGGAACTCTATGTAGGGGCAATTCTAGCAGAAAATGACATCGACATACAAACCTTCAGAGGCAAAACTCCAGCTGACTCAGAAGTTGTTTACTTGCCTGCAGAAAGAAGAAACTAAACTAATCCAACTGCCCCACCATATGGTATGAGATGCTCCTGAGACAAAAGCAAAAAAGCGTGCATATATATATATACACACACACAGATGCTATGGTTGAGGAACATCTCTAATTACAAATAGCATTGCTGAAGGTATATTACAGACAGTTTAAACACGTTACCTTACCAGGTCTTGGTCATTAATGTTCAAGAAACACGGCAAATGTGGCTTTCAGGCCAGCTCTGACCCCAAGGGCTTTTTTCCTGGACCCACAGCAGCAAGCAACAGATCCACCTAAAGCTACTGCTTCGCTTTATTCTCCACTGGAAAGTGGTGAATCTCCAAAGAAGGTTTATAGCTTTCTCAGCTAAGATGCTTCTTTACTGATTACATGCTCAGTTCTGAAACCCTTGGGGTCATTTAAGATGTCATACAACTGCATACCCACAGCTTTATTCCACAAAGAGATGACAGATTAAAATGACTAACATCTAAATGGAATCCTGAACTCAAGTTACTTGGATTTAAGTAATCTACAAGCATACACTTTACTCAAGGAATGTACATTTCCTTTATTGATATAAAAAAAGTATTTCAATGTAGAACATCTTCCAACAATCCATAACAACCCTAGACCGATTTACATATATTCTTTAGAGGGATTTACTTTCTTGGGCCACAGGACTTGCCAGACCCTTGGCTCAGTTATTCCTGCCTGGGCTACAAAGCACCAAATATGCATTTTTTTCTCCTTCAAAAGTGTGCCTCAAAAATCCACTTTCACAATACCCAATAAAGTATTTGTACAACTGCGTATTTATGTTAGCTCAATGTTTGTAAACCTTACATAAGCCTACAAACTCCCCTGGAAGTGAGCTTTTGTATGTACATACAAATACACACTATATATATATATCTATTTACTTCTTAATCTTTTTTTTCAGACTAAGGTGTCTCAAGATTCTTATTTCTCAGACAAAATCCCAATTTAACAAAGATGGCTGAATTTACTGGTGGGATTTTAACTTCCTCATGCAGACAATATATGGTAAGGTAAGGGGTGAGTTTATACATACTTTTTGTCAACTACCCAGTCAGACGTTTCTAGTATGTATTAAGTACCCCTTACAGTGCATTTCTAAAAAGGCACAGAAACTACTCAAACAATTACTTCATAAAATCTCAATACACACAACTGGACACGGAAATGTATTTTTCAAGCATCCAATCTGTTTCCATCCATGTAAACTCAGGCACACACAATACTAATGCAAACTCATACAACACCAGAGCCATCAACAGTGAAATCAAATAGTTTTACAAAAATGTATGCAAGTTATCAAATTTGTATCAAGATGCCTATGACACCATGTCAAGTAACTCCACCTGCAGTTTTCAGCATTCATTCTTTCAGTTTCTAAACATTTAAGCCAAATAATTTAGATTAAAAAATCTGCAGGGTCTTGGTTTGGGGGAAAGAGGAGGAAGAGGGAAATGCTGGGAACTTACCAGCATTATCAGCACTGCATAACAAATACCTGAAAACAGAGCTAATAAGCCCTGTTGGACCCAAACTGATTTTGCACAACCATCACTTACCATTATGTTGGGTAGTATTCATATTACTGCAATTTCTCCGCTACGTAGGTGCATTTCACATAATTGAGAGCTGAGTGCATTCAGCAAGAATTATGTAACTAGTTTTAAATGAAGCTACACGAAGCTCAATACATACCCCACAGAAATATGTTATTCAAAATTCTTCTATGATAAAGTTTGTCCATATTCATTGTCAAATGCACAGGTCATTTTAGATTAATATTCTCTTCTCCTATTCAAAGATCTTTGAAGAACTAGAAAGTTATGGGTTTTTTAAATAAAAAGTCAGATGATATGAAGATTTATTTTCTGATCATTACATTACAGTTCTCCCTTCAGAAAAAAAAGCAGTTATTTCTCTCCCATAACTACCTTCCGTTATTTACAGCATCTGCTACTTTCTCCAACATATCAGGCAGGATTCATTCAGATGACCTGCTTTTATACATAGGTATGATTTTTCCACAGAATGCAGTTCAGCCTAAGTAGTGAAAGCAAAGTATGCTATAAATTCCTCAGAATCAGAAAAAATAATAAAGTACGTGCATTAAAACCTATCAAAATATGCAGATTCCCTCAGAAGGATTGAAACCTTTATATCAACAGGATATTTATCCGTTGAGCTTATGCAGTAACAATTGTACACGGATCTGCCACTAGACAGGGATACAGACTTTGCCTAAGATTTTCAGACAACTCTCAGTCAGCAGCAGAGACTCAGTTTCTATACCTACATAATTTTTTTTAGGAAATCTTTACTATGAAAAAACCCAGCACACAGAATTCTACTTAGGCCTATAAAAAGTGAAAAAGGATCCAACAAGAAAAAATTTTAGGCTAAACTCTTCTGCCACGTTTACTAAGGGAGAAAAGTGGATTTTTACTGAACTTGGATGTAGAACTATACCTGACTTCCTGCCTGGCTGTCTTTTTTTGTTAAGAATCTTGAAGAAAATGTTAAACAGAATCTATGAATTACAATGAAAATGCAATTATCAACTTTTTGCCACAAAGCCAAACAAAGTAAGATTTTCCAATTCAGACAAGCATAGATATCCCTATTTGAAAAGTAGTTTATTGAGAATTGTTCTTAGAGACCAAAACCTACAAATAATTCACTGCTTTGTTAAATGACCATGCACTATCAATATATTTCACATTTCATTTCCTACTATAATAACAATTTCCCATCCTCTTCATTTCTTTCTTGTTTAACACGGATGACTAATACAGATGCATTTGTGTCATGAATACAATACCTGAGCTTCTGGCGAGAGCTGTTTTTCTCTTTCCTGCAAGGACATTTTACAGTAAGATTGTAATGCCAAGTAGTTCTTCCGCTTCCATTTTCTGTCTAACCTGTCCGCATGCTGTTTACAATAAGCAAAAAAAGGGTCAGCTATGTCCTGTTTCAGAGAAAACAAAGGGGAAGGAACAAAAATAAAGTAAGACATACAAGGTCAAAAGGCTCTAAACAGCACAAACATTCTGGCAATCAGTTCACATGTTCAAATAGACATGTTTTTAAAAATAGCTAATATGTATGTTTCTATATCATTTTGTCATGTAATTTACCGTATGAAGTGTTTTTCCATTTTTTTCACTGTGTGACTCTAAACTTTTTTTAAACACATTAACTATTCAGCTCTCTACTGTTCAGTCTCTATTTGCTCGTTCCCAGAATAAACAGCAGAAAAAATTACTAAGTATAAATCCATTTAACATATAACATGTATTGTTAACTTCCTGTTGCTTCACTGTGCTGTCTTTTGCATTATATCCTACAAGGGATTAACAATTCTGAGTAACAGAAAAAACAGTATATTTTGTTTTCTCAAAAGATTTTCCAAATGTTTTTGTGGCTATACCTCCATGTGATTTATCATATCTCAGATGATTTTTTTTCCCATTTTTCATTCTTCACTCCATCAGATCTGCACATTATCATAGCTCTAAGTTTATAGCCACTTTTAGCACTTGCAAACTTGCAAATACCTGAGCCATGCAGAGATATGGTTTGACTATATTTCATTGCCAGTATATTTTCAAAAGTGCAGAAACATCATCATAAATCGATAGACTAAGGAGAACTTAAAGCAGTCTTCTTCATAAAGTAATAAAAATATTAAAAAAATAATTTGCCTATCAAATTTTACTTTACTCCACCTATAAAACACAGAGCAATAAAATCTACACAGCCTTTCCTTACAAACGTATTTTATTTTGATTTATATTTTCAGAGTGTGTGAGAACTTACTTCCAAAAATTAGCAGCACCCTAAAATTAAGATTCTGTAATGCCTTGATGAAATATATTTTGGTGACAGAAAACATGTAAGAAAACTTTAAGGTGGAAAGACAAGTAAATGCATATGCCTAGAAGAAATTCACATGGAGTGTTTGAAGAATCAACATTACACATAATTTATCAGGGACAACAACAACGAGGTAATTGTACTATCTTCCCATTTATCAGTCTAACAGAAGAAAGTATTTTGTGATTCCTTTAAGAATCACTTAGAGGCCCGCTGTTTTCAGAAACAAAAGTGTCAATGTCAATAGTGCAAGTAATGCCTGTTTGTGTGCTACCTGTAGTACTTCCCAAAGCAATGAGAAGTTAAATTGTGCAGCTACGAACGTGATAGGCTTAATGCAAATGATACATATCAGGATGAAATTGGGCAACCTAGAAGTACTTATACTGTAAAAATGAATTCAGAAGTAGGAGCTTCAAATCTAAATTGCTTTAATCACATTACAGGAAGAAAACTGGTAAGAACAGATATAAAAAGTTATCAGTAGGTTATAAATGTTTGCTTTTCATTCTGATTCCTAAGATTAATGTTACCACAAGGAAAGTCATATACCTGTACTGCAATTTGAAGAAAACACTGGAAAAAATGCATGAAAAAAAATGGCATTAGATATGTAGTTAATTCCCCAAGACAGTCCTATTTGGTATGAAACAGATTACTATACTACATAAACAGCTAGGTAAGTATGTCAACCTAGGTGAAGTTCACCAACTAGGGTTAGAATTCATGTCTGTATTGATTGATAGTCTATTGAGCCAACTTCTGTGTTAACCTTCTCTATCCCTTTCTCCAGGCCATTTCAAAAGGTGCTCAGAGTTGGACAATTTTGTGAACAAACAGCCCTCCCTGGATAGTCCCTTTACTCAGCCTACGACTTGCTACTGATTTACAAAAAAATTTGCTCAGCGCACAATTTCAGGTCATCTTCACAAGCTTTTGATACGAGTCTTTTATTCTACCCATTCCATAGCTACCTCTTCTGCTGCTGCTTCTGAGAGAAGGCCTTCCTTCTGAGCACAGGTCACATGAAAGTAAGCTCTGCACATTCCAGCATCACAACTAATGCATACACCAGTTCTGGCAAAACGAGGATCTTCGCAAAAACTGCATTCCTTTATAAAGAAGAGCAGAAAATGCCACAGTAGATATTTCAGGTGTGTTTTGCCTAGTATTTGATAATTCACATCTTGCATATAAAAACAAACAGGCAGGTTTACTCCTATGTGGTACAGAAGCCAAGTATACTATTGACAATTGACACTACTTAAGAAGTTTACTCTGTCCCAACCCCCACTATTGATTTAATTTTCACCTAGCAAGGAAAAAGTGCTTAAACAACCTAAACAGCATGTTGGATGAATTCTTATATGAACTTCTATGTCTTGTATTCCCCTTCAGAGCAACAACTAAATACTACCCAAGCAATTAATGCACAATTACTTATATAAGAAGTATGGTATCATAAAACAACATTACTGCTCAGCAATATTCAATTGTTCAACAAGTTGATGGTGTTCAAAAAACTGGTAGATGTGTCACTTTGGGACATGGTTTAGTGGGCATGGTGGTGTTGGGTTGATGGTTGGACTGATGATCTTAGAGGTCCTTTCCAATCTTAATGATTCCTAGTTTTTACTTTCATTATAAATAATCCAGCCACCAAGCCAGGAAACTGAAATTGCTACTCTACCCTTAATTGGTTTAGTGGTTGACTGGTTGATCTTAAAGGTCTTTTCCAACCTAAATGATCCCATGATTCTGTGATTCTATAAGTTCAGAGGACAAACAACAGAAAGAGAGCAGTACTCTGGATGACTGAAAACCGTAGATAATTACATAGATGTCCTTTGATAAGCAACAACCGAGGAGCAAATGTGTGACAATGCAGAAAGAAAACTCAAGAACTGTAAATATCAGTAAAGAAGGTTGTGATTCACTTAAACACTGCACTAGGGCTTCAGCTACATGCATTCTAGGCACAGCCTTTTACAACACAGCAAACTGACATCCCCTAATGTGACCTGGAAAAAAACCCCACCACTTATTTTTCAGCCAGATCAATTCCTCAGTCTGTTTCACCACAAATTCATACCAAACAGCTGTGCCAGCAAACTAGAGTAATGAGCACGTAAGCAGGAACAAGCAAATGGGAACATGGGCTGCTTAAGCAGTGCTGCTATCCAGTGCATAAAGGTGATCTAAAATTATACAGGTGTGTGTTTCTTAATCTCTCACAAGCTGAATACAGAGCAAAGCTGTGCATCACCTACAGAAAATATCTCCATGCAGAAAGTTAAACAACAGAAAGGAATGGCAAAGAAAACTCAGTGACTGAAGAATCTCAAAACACTGCCTACACTACCATAAAAGGGCACCCTTTAGCTGTGCAACAGCAACACGTAACAGATAGGAAATGAGTGAAACAGGTAAGAAAATAAGTGAAAAAGAATATTATATGAAGCTGGTTTTGCAGGAGGAAATTTTGCTAAGCAAGCTGCAACTTCCACACTTGATACAGCAAACAGCGTTTGTTTACAGCTCTGCTAGAGTAACGAGTCCTCATTTGTGCAGTTCACTTTCACCTTACTCACAGTAATAAAATACGTCCAAATTCTTAGCCCTGCTCCTATACATCACTCATTTTAATTAAAAAAAAAAATAAAATGGATGATTCATTACAACAACAGTTTGTAGGGTTCTGGGAGCTTGCTCCGACTTGTTTTTATATAAACATTTCTAAACAATGCTAAATGCCTCAGCAGGCCCATGCTGCACGTGCTCCTGATACAGGCATGTTGCACACAGGCAATCCACAGTTTTTTAATTTATTTCAGATATTATATGTATTTTTAAAAATGTACTAGATATTTTCATTTAGTATTCAACTTGACAAACTGACATTCCAGAAAATGAAATTGACTGTGCACAAATGAAGCATTAGAGCAGCAGGAGTACAACCACCTTCCCTCACATTAGCCTGATAGATATGGCTTCTCCACACTGTCCCCATTAGCTACAGAAACAGTATTTAGCAAATTACTGAGCGCTGTCCTCTGCCCATTGCACTGGTTTTCTGTACGGTTTGTGTGTGATCACTTTTGGTCTGGATTGAAAACATTTATATGTAAAACCATTTTAATTTTACAGCCATTTTTCTGTTCAAGTTGAGGGCCCCATGTTATTGTGGGTTTTTTTAAAATACTGCTTTGCAGCAACCTTTTTGTATCCATTCTAGCTTATAATTACATAGACTGTAAAGTAATTCTTACTCAATGTACCTCTGTCACTTTCTTAATCAACCTAAACTTCCATTTCTCCATCTCGCATCCCACAAATCCTCTTCACTTTCCATCCACGTTTTGGCAATCTGCCACTAACTGCCTTTAAAAGAAAGTAATTAGCACCTGTGTAAAAAATAATGGAAATTAGGGGGAAAATGAAGACAGAAATTATGGATAACAGATGTAAGGAAAATAGAAAGAAAGTGGGAGGGAAGAGCAACGGTGTAACAACCATGAACAAACTTAATCTCATTTTTAATCCTGAACCTCACTGCAATTTCTATAATCAGGAAAAATAAAGTTGGGAAGATGTATGTTATTCTATTACATGTAAAAATGTAAAATAAAGCCACTTGTCTCTTCTAAACTTACCTTGGCACCATACTTTGAATAATTCATTTCTGTAAGTGTTACTGGCCGCAGTTTGTCAATATCTCCAAATGCCACTCCTGGAACATAGAGGGCACAAACAATATGGACCCACCTAAAACAGCAGATAAAATTAGGTTACTGTTATCAACATTTTGTTCCTATATTATACTCACCATTTGCACATTTCAAAGTGCCTTGTAAATGTTACAGATGCTAGAAGAAATGTGTTTGAAGGAAAGTACATTACAAGCAGGGAGAGCATGTGTATTTGGAGTTCAGCGGCTCACACACTGAACGATAGAGTAAGGCTTTTCAAAGTCAGCACAACTGCTCTGCCTGTCTGGATAAAGGGCTGGGCTACCATCACCTTTCTGTTCTGATGGCTTTTACGTGGGGCTCCACACCACTTTTTATGTAATATGAAGCGTACATGAAGAGTTTGATACTACTTATAAAAAGCTAAGGCACAGAGATACTTTCATGATGGGGCAGGAGGTGGGAAGGGGAGGAACAAAATTATACAGGTAGTCACAGCAACACTGAGCTCCAGGCATAGAGCTATGAAGTACCTACAACACAGCATCAGTCAGACTTTGCCTTGTTACAGTTACACCTGTTAATATCACCAAAACTAACTAGTTTTAAGCAACACAGATAGGAGCTGCATTCAGTTATAAACATACCTGAGTTGTTTTACAGAAATGCCTATCTGAAACTTAGATGAACAGATTGTCACTTAGCTGTACTCTTCTTCACTGGCCATAAACAAACTGGAAGGTAATAGGTCTAAATCTTCAGCCTTGAGGGCATAAAATGAGACAACATGAATCTGGACCACAGTGTCTAGTAATTAAATACAACACAAATGATAATGGCTTCAGTCTCAAGCCTGCCTTTGACAACGTCCTCGTTTCAGCTGGCATAGAGTTAATTTTCTTCCTAGCAGCAGGCATAGTGCTGTGTTTTGGATTTAGTAGGAGAAGAATGTTGATAACACACTGATTGTTTAGCTGTTGCTGAGTACTCCTTATGCTAGTCAAGGACTTTTCAGCTTCCCATGCTCTGCCAGGTGCACAAGAAACTGGGAGGGGGCACAGCCAGAAGAGTTGATCCAAACTGACCCAAGGGCTATTCCATACCATATGACGTCATGCTCAGTATATAAACTGGGGGGGGAAAAGGGGTTGGCCGGGGAGCAGCAATTGCTGCTCGGGAACTGTCTGGGTATCAGTCGGCGGGTGGTGAGCAATTGCATTGTGCATCACTTGCTTTGTATATTATTATTACTCTTATTATTATATTATCACTACTACTATTTTACTTTATTTTATTTCAATTATTAAACTGTTCTTATCTCAACCCAGGAGTTTTTCTCACTCTTACTCTTCCAATTCTCTCCCCCATCCCACTGGGGCGGGGGAGCGAGCGAGAGGCTGCGTGGTGCTTAGTTCCTGGCTGGGATTAAACCATGACATACAGACATCTTCATAATCTCCTGAAACTCTCAGTTACCAGAAGACAGCCTTGCAGCAGAAGACAATTTTCTTCCTCTTAGGTAATGAACACTTTCTAAAAGATCCAACTCTCATTGTCACAAACCATCAGTTAGTGACAAACTCAAAATCTGTTCTACACAGCATGCACAAGTCAACTGAGACAAACTACTCCAAAAAAATGAAGTGTTCCTCCCCAAAATAATCTTTCTGTTTTATCAGAACTCCAGAAACTATTTGCTACCTCTTGCTAAGTCACTAGGTAGGAGCAAACTGTCATAGACAGGAAGTCAGGATTGCTACTTTCTGTTATCTTAAAAAATATTCGAGAAAACAGCCTTAAAACTGCAGAGGTATGCAGCTACCACTTTCAACCTATGAGCTCCCAGATGACATGGGATACAACTAGAGACTTTGGACATAACTGAGCTGAAATATCCTGTTACAACGTACTTAGCAAGTACGTTAACTCAGCACTTTACGATCTTCCCAGTCATTAACATTTAACAGTGAATATATCACTAGTGAAAACTAAAACTTCTGTTTTAATAGAATCATAGAATCTACTCCCTGTGTTCAAGACGACTCATGCTGCTGCCAGAAATGCTTTTTCCCTTGGCTCTCAATATCCATGTACTGCAATTTTCCAATCTCACTAAATACCAGGGGCTCAGCACAAACCTGTCACCACCTACTTAAATCTGCATCCATGCTGCCGTGCTCTTTTTTTCCAATCTTCTACCACGGTTTAGCCTATCTCTTCTCCCTCCTCTTTGTTTTGTGTGTCAATAAAAAAAAATTCAATTGGACCAGAGCAATAAGATCTGCTGCATTTCAGCTGCATTTAAACAGCATGTTTATTAAGCTGTTATTAACTGCTTAATAACTGTCTACAGATGAGAGAAATACTGAAGTTGATGGTTATACTAATCAGGAGCTACATGTAACCCTGATTTCGCACGTTTCCCAAATCAGCAGGTTTCTCATCAGCGGTCCTCAGACCTACAATGCTGGAATTTACCATATTCAGAATTACTAAGTTTCATGTTAATTATATATGACTCATATATCCAAACAGAAATTCAAAAAAAGCAAGATATGAAAGATTCAGTAGCAAGCTCAAAAATACATATACACTGAAGTCTTTACAAAAGAAAACAATGATCTTGCAATGTACAAAATGGGTGGACAGACTTTATTTAGGATTTTCCCCCAAAATAGTCCGTGATAATAACCGAATAACAGAAAAATCCCAGTAACAGTAAGAAACTACTTAGAAACCATTAACTCACTTCACTCTATAAGAAATTTCTCAGTAAATCTAACATAAGTCACAACACTGACTGATCCATAGGGTCATACCTGACAAGACTCTTCACCTGCATATTTGAAAACAAGTTTTTACCCTATTGTTAAATCACTCAGGTTTGAGATGCTAAGTGGTAAATTCCCTTTAACACATGAAAACTTAAATCAATGAGAAGAATTTATATCCTAAATACACATTTACATGCAACAACTGCATTGCTTTGTCATTACAGATTTTACTGTGGTTTTCCACATCCACAAAACGGTTTGGTCACAGCACTGTAACTACTGGAAGACTCAAAGAAAATGTAAAGTTTAAAGATGAGTTACAACCTTGTCTTTAAATAACATAGTACAAATATGACAGCATGCTAACTGCCAGAGAATAAGCTGAGATACTCAAGTGTTCTGCCAAACTTCTTGCTGCTCAGATAGTGAGTAAAGCTCACCACTGTTTTTATTACAGTATAAACACTCCAGCATGCCAGCACAACCTCCGAACTTATACAGTGTTATATGCAAAAAATAAGATTCTTCTCATTACTATATGAAAAGTGCATCTTCTGTCTACCTCCCCACAAAAGCAATGGAGGCACAAGATATTCCTGCAGGGAAGCAGTGGAGCACCTGGTACCATCTCTGCCCCTCCATACTGTATCCAGAATTGGCTATAGTTTGGCCTAAATCACTACCATACCTTTATGAAATATTCTTCTACAAAAAAAGCGCATGTGTGTGCATGAATGTGTATTTTGGTATATATTATGCATTTAGTAAAATAAATACCTCATTTAAATGAGCATACTCTACTTGTTTTCAAAAGGAATCAAAATACTTTTTTTTTTTTTAAAAGGCAAATGCCACATGCAGAATGAGACCTGTAGCCTTGAGATAAAGAGACTGCTTGTTTGTAAATAAAAAACATCTGAATTCTGCAGGATTTATTTTCTATACCCTTCCATTGATTTAAGATGTGTTATATAGAACAAATTTGTATAAACGGAAGATACACATCTCCACAATTACTATTCTTAAGAAAAATCCAAGGTTCTGGTTGGAGATTTTTGATAGCAAGTTTTAATACAGCCTCCTAAATGTACCCTCCAAAGTTCAATATAAAGATACACATCTTCTACAAGCAGCTGCTTCTCAATTTAATTTGCACAGTTTTTTCATGCTCCACTGGTGTATTAAATGCTGCTGCACTCTGTAGGAGTTTTATCTATGATAAACCCAACAGCTGGCTGCTTGCTTCATACTGACCTTCTCAAAATGTTTTAGTACATGTCACCCAAGTATTACAGTATTACAGATTTAAGCTGACATTTCAGTGTGATTGGCACAAAAGTGCCTCATTTCTTTAACGACCTATATGCAAACTCAGACCTGAATCTTTATTAAAAAACATACACAAGTCAGTCAAGTTCACAGCTGATGCAATTTTAGCTGCTTTTAATACCAGTTCTAAATATTTTCCTGCTCATTTGTTTAGCTGCACATGTTTTAGAAGCTTGTAATTAAGACAAATTGGGTAATCAAAGAATAATAATCTTCCTTGTTACTTTACCATCCATTTAGCTTGGAGCAATGATGACAGATGTTGATTAGGGAAGAAGAAAAACTCCATACTGAAACAAGGACAGAATTCATATTCTTGGATAATAGCATTTTGAGAAATAAAATTTCATAAATTCACATTTACGCTTGTGAAACCAAGAGGTTAATGTGAAAATGCTTCTGCTGAGAAATTAAGCACCTCATTCTAATGATTCACCTTTCACATAGGAACAGAGAAATTATTCCAACTTGATTATGAAAAGAAACTGAATAGGTTTGGTCTCGCCTCTGTGCAATTTCTAGTACCGATGCATATGAAGAATTTCTTTTAAAGAGGTGGTAAAGGGATGGAGAGCAATGGTGAGTTAAACAATTCTGTTATTCAGACCCTACCCCTTAGCTTGCAGTGCCCCATTACCCTTCAGAATTCAAATTTGCAAACAAATAACAGAAAGAGAGCACAAAAATTTGCACATGGTAGGTAGTATTTGTTTTTTATAGTAAATAAGCTCTATTCATCTGGGAAAATAAGCTTATACTTATTGACAACAGCCATATCACATTATCTAGCAGGTAAAAATGCAATAATAACAATAATAAATGAATGTGTTAATGCCCACAATCACCAAAGCAGGCATGTGCTTCTGCACAGAGAACCAGTGTCATAGGGAAAACGCTTCCACATTAACCAAAAGCATACTACCATTTTATAAGAAGAAATTTAAACAATTTTTAAAATGTTGACTATTATGGTTATAGGGGAAATTACATATATAGTGCTTAAACTGACTTACAGAGCATGGAAATAAAAAGGTGGAAATAAGATTTGCCAGGCGATATGGATTCTCAAATTTCCTAACTGTTAGAGAACTGACTTTAGTCTTTCAAAATATTTTTTCCACATAGCAACATTATTACTAAAACAGAAAACAGAACTGGGAGGTACAATTTGTTTAATTCTGTAACAGCTTTATAAGGGAGACGCACAGACACTGTCGAACTTAAGACAGACCAGAAACTGAGCATCTGAACCCCAAAAGTATTTAAAAAGAAGCACAACTGCTTCTGTGGAATCAAAATTATTCACTACAAACCCTGACTCACTTGTGTCACTTTTTTTTTTTTAAATAGCACAGTATTTTCTTCTACTTTCATTGTTTCCCCTTTATAAGATGCATGTAGAAGACATGAAGGAAAAAAAAGATTTCTTTTACATACTGTATGTATATCTTCAAAATGCATCTCGGCTACAAATTGAGAAGCTGAGCTCAGTGTATATTCAGTGGAGAAAGGTAGATGCCTCCAAAGGTTATTGCTAGCATCTGCATCCTATGGTCAAAGTTCAGTGTTACGAATACCCTCGTTATCTCTTTATTCCCAGCACAAACTCAAATTGTTTTTGGTATCAGAAAAAAATACAAACTAAGGGAGAAATGAAAGGGCATGTACAATTTAATCCACAAAACCTGAATCAACTTACGACATTTTAATAACGTATTTACTTTACTGAAGACAGACAACACAGTATGTCAAAAAAAATTTTCCAAAACATCACCCTGAGCTCTGCTGAGCTTTTAATGATGGCAGGACCAGATTGTTACAGTATTAGCAACAGTAAAGTCTGTGTAAGACCAGAAAGTAAAAAAAAAAACAAACAAACAAAAAAACCAAACCAGAAAACCAAAAACCCAAAACAACCAGCAAACACCAAAGAACTGGGGGAAGATACGGATACAGATACGCTTATGCACACATTACAAGACAGCTGTATACTTAAGTGATAACATATACAAAACCTTACTAACACAGATGGTAAGATTAAACTTTTTATTTCATCTTAACTCACTTCCTAGCATTTGTGCAAGTCTAACTAGGGAACTCTTCACAACAAGTAGGAAAAACCATGAAGACCACTATAAACCAGTGGGTGAAGAAAAAGCAAGGACATGGTTATATTTTGTGATTTGCTAATACAAAAGATGTTGTTCTGCAATACATAGCTAAGTGTAAATTGTAATGTGTCTATGAATGCATATTAAAAAACACAAAAGGTTTTACAGTAACACATGTTGACATTTCTGAATTTTAAAGTATTTGTACTAATACTGAATATTTAACTGGATTCTTTCTGGCTCATCCATCATCATCAGTAAGATAACGTCTGCAGGCTTTTATATTCCTACCTCTCAAACAGATACGTTCAAACAGGATTAAGAAAGCTGCTCTTTCCTCTGAACTTACCAACTAATTATTGCCTTCCCATGTTAATATAATCAATGAAAAGCTTATGATGGGCCCAGTATGTGAAAGCTTTGTATGTTACCACACACCTGCAATTCATATAACTGTAAAATGTATGGAAGAAGAACTTAACTGTCATGGTCTTAAAAAAAAAAAAAAACCCCACACACCACCATAAAAAAAAAAACAACACCAAAAAACAGTAACACTAGCCATAGATCAGACATCACTGGTAATCCTGCTCTCTCCTTTCTTATAGAAAATTAGTTACCACTAATACCTACATCTTAATTTATTTTCCAAATGTGACAGGAATGGAAGACATCACATAAGAATTAATCCACTTACTCTCTATTTAGACCTGAAGTCCTTCCTAAAAAGTTCATCGCTGTCTGGAAATTATCAGAAGTGAAAGTGAAGCATACTCTCAAAAATGAAGAATGGAATTAATTCCCATCATTCAAAATAATAATAATACACCAGGTCTCGCTGAATACTTTTAGCACAACTTCAACATGATTTTGTTACTTTTTCCATTACCTGACATCAGCGACACCCATCCTTAGCTCTCCTAAAAAGCATGGAGTTGTCCTCCCACTTCCATCATACTTAGTAGACTTGAGCAGAGTTTGTACAAGGTTGCAGTGACATTACCTTGCACAAAGCAGAATACTACAGAAAGGATAAAGCCTACTTTTCCTTCCATGAAATGGAGCACATTCTTTCATTTTCCCAATGGCCACATACTTCTCCCAGTCCAATATGACACGAAGTCTGGAAGGTGTTTTCCTGCTCTGCTGCAGACTTCATCATTCTTTTTTGTCGCATTATTAACTGAAGAAGAGCACTTCGGTGTTTTGCTACTCTTCAGGATTAACCATGAAAGAAGCACAATACTAGCAAGGCATAAAATGCAGCTTTCTGGCAGCTGATAAAATTGAACTACCAGAACACATGCTCAAATTCCATAGATTGACAGCAGATACCAAACACTACAAGCTCAGTCACCATCAGAGAACCACTGTGACCAGCCCCAGCAGCTGTCCTTGCTAGAACATAATACTACTATTAAGCAGTGAGGCTCAAGGGACTCAGACCCTGCTTTTCTCACTGCAACCTCCAACCTTGAGCAAACCCAAAACAACTACACAATTTTTCTTAGGTTTCTGATCCCCAGTCCCTGCCATCAATTTTTCAAGCCGTTGGTCAAGTGAGAAAAGTCATGCCATTATCCTTGCAGATGTCTGAATACTGAGTAAGAGTTTATGGGGTATTAACTTCCTCTACACAGGAAACCTTTTTGTTTAAATGTAAACTGCGTTCCTGATGCAAACAAAAAAATAAAAGGTTCTTTTTCAAGACTCTCATCACCTTCACTAGTGTGTTTTTTTTGTCAAAAAAGATGCATCACACAGGTACTTCAAGGGAACAAAGAAAGGTCTTCTGGTATATCCAGTAAGACATTTATAAACATCTAACAATATACACTGACATCATACTGAATAACAGGATTTATCAGTCCCTGAAGTAAATGGTGATCTTTTTTTCACCTAGGTACATCGTTTGCTCATAGCTCCATAGATCTTCATACTCAAATTCACCTTAAGACAACGTCTTCCTAATATTACAATGGGCATGAAAAACATTAGGAGCACACAAAAAATTAGGTGATTGACTATCCAAAGAGCACCCAACTCAAAAGTGAGGGGGGAGAGAGAGAGAGGACATCAACAACAAAGTTTAATTTATGACACTGTCTTCTACAGGAACAGACTAGGGCTAAACCCAATCTTTTAAATGTAAGATGACATCAAATCCAAAACATCACTTCTTCAGTCTTACCTGCCTGCATCAGTCTCCTTGAAGATCCCATCCTGGTTAGGACACAATTCACAACTAGGTGTGACACCACATTTGCATGCATCACAAAACCAAGGTTCCGTGGAATTTTCTGAAGCTGAGCTCATGATAGAGTCACTCTCTCCATCAACACCATAGCAACCTACACACACAAAAAATGGAAAACCAATATAAGAAAAGACAACTGTAAAAGTAGACAGTTGTCAGTTATGATTTCAGCAACACATATACATTCAGAGGAATGATACTGAAAGTCCCAAGAAAGCTTACAATATTTTTGCACAGATTATCTTTAGTGCAAAATTCACATTTTAAAGAGACCCTAATTCTAAGAAGCGAACTATTTTATGTGACTGTCTTTGATTACAACTGAAAACCAAGAAGAAAAAGGCTGGTTTACTTCATTCTTTTAGCAACGCTTGGTGTTCTTCCAGACTATCCATTAAGAAGGAAAGTAAGGAAACAAGACTTAAAACAACCAACAAAAACTGAGAAAAACTCAAAGCATTTTTTCAAATCAAGAAATATATTTCAAGTTAAATGCAACAAGCTAAGGAAAATTTAAAAAATCCCAATAACACACTGATCAATTACACTATTTTATGGAGCTATTTACAAGAACGGTTCTTCATTCCTTTATCATTATCCTGTAAGGTCCTGTATACCATATCCCACTCTTCTCCTCCGGTGTGGCTGTGTAGTGCTTATGTTGAGCTACTTATCTTCCCACGCAACCTGTGAAGTCTGCTTTCAGTTGGATCAACAGCCTAATCCAAATTATAACATGGTTTCTTGAATACTAGCACCAAGTGAAGAATCCATGAGTATCATGGCTCAGACTGCAGATTTGTGAGCATTTGCAGGCTTCTCTTGGATATTTCTATCTTTCTCCTTAATCTGAAAATGAACATTATTTTGGGGGTTGGGGTGGCATGGGGTGTTGGTTGGTTTGTTTGTTTTTTAAAGAGGTTGATTATGCCAGTAGTATTCAGTCTACAAATACACACTCCACTTTTTCACTTTGCATTCAGCATCCAAATCAACTAAAAGGGAATATACACATGAAATAAAAAACACCATTTGCATACTTTAGGGGTAGTAGGACTGAGCTTAAAAGACCTATAACTTCAAAACCAAAGTACAGTTTGCAGAGCAGATATTGACAGTTTTGAGACACCAGACTGCTTAAAAAAAAAAAAAAAATACTTGGGACAACTATACAATCACCATTCTCATTTTTACCTAGTTTTAAATTATAGCTAAACTCAATCATTCAGTTTCTCCATTCTTCTTTCGTATATCCACTGTAATCTTTATGATTGTTAAGGTGTCTATGCATGCTTAATCACCACAAATTTAGGAAAACGGTATTTTTAAAGTGATTTAGAAGCTTGTTAATTTAAATTTTGCACAAGGATAAGAGTAGTACTATTACTACTGCAAATCACAAAAAGGAAAATCTTAAAGTTTATCGCCACAAAACTATTTCTGCATATGCCACATTTTGAACATTTATCTGTTATTAAAACACAGTAGAAATTTTACTAAAAGATTAAATCCAGCTATTTGTCAAAAACAGTGATCAAGTAAACATTTGTGCTTGCAAAACAGTTAAATTATTGAATTCTGCAATTAAATAACATGATTTGTTACTTTGGTTCATTAACCACTGACTGTAATAAAATAGCAACAGTGCTCTAACTCCCCTTGTGACAGAAACAGAGCTCTGCATAATAGACTAAAACTGCATTCAGGAAATAAGCAGTAACACTGTAGGAACCATTTAAGAAATATAGTCTTCCACTACAGAATGAGGTTCATCAATAAGAATTAAAATAAGAAGCCAGAATGTTTCTTTTCATTGTAAAAGCATTCCAGAATCAAAGTACTAGGAATGCCCAGAAGTACATTCACAGACAAGTTTCATTAGGTATATAAAATATCATACAGCTTACACATAGGTAACTCCGTTTTCTGTATAATGCGGTACCAGTAGTATTAAGTAGTATTAAGTAGTATTCCAGAAAGTAATTTTTTAAATTCTAACAACACAATCTTGAATGCATGCCAGTAAAGCTAAAACTTTTTAAAAAACTTTTAAGCAATTACATTAATGTACACAGCCCATTGATATCATTGATATCATAGAGCTGATGAATAATTAAGCTTTTTATAATTCCTACAGACTTCTTAACATTAACATTTTCCTAAATGTCCTTATTAAACACTGCCTAACACTATAGAAGCAGTAATACTTTAACAATTTCTACTCAAGTCTTGGGACCCAACAGCTGAAGCTTAAATTTGATCTAGTAATACTTAAAATGAAGAGCTGAGTCCCAAAATCAATTACAAACCACTTCTTAAGCTGCATTTTTGCTAAGGATACGCAAGTATTTTAGCACAGAATTTTTCTTATGTTTGTTATAAAGAATCATTTGCTGCTTTTGGGTTGTTAAGTGAGAACAGAAACCAAAGGAGAGATCAGATTTCATCAATGTAATATCCATATGGATAATACAAATCTGTTGAACAGCTGTATTCATGAAATTTCTGTAAAGCTACAATCTATAAATAAGATGACAAACCCTGTATGTGGTTTTGACACCAATAATCAATATGTATATAAAGAGAATTAAATTCCTTTTAAAAAATAGCAGTGAAAGTTCCTTGCAGGCCAAAAATATATAATGAAGCAAAAAATAACTACTAGCTCAATTTTTAATTAATAAAACTTTCATGATTCAAAAACAGTAAAATAATTCGAAACAAAAAATAATCAATGACAAAATATATTTGTCCTGATTCAAAGAAGGACAGGTAACACAATGATGATGTCATTTGACATTAAGATGCCAGATATGTACAGGGGCAGATGTAAGGCTTGTTTTTTCAAATGTACAAGGAATGAAAAAAACACTTTATTTCACTTCAATTGAGATATGAAGGTAAAAGCAGTTTCAGAACAAAAGCCTATGTAGAAATATGTCAATTTTGCTAAAACTTTGAACTTCAGTCCAAGTAAATGTATTTGGAACAATGAAAAGCTAAGATCATTATAGCATTCACCTGGGATGTGAAACAGTCTGAAGTCTCTGCCCAGTCCAAACCAGAGCAAGGATATTAATCTATTCTCCCACAGCCAGTGCTCTGATCACAGGTGGTCATTATTCCAAATAAATATCTCAGTCTCTTCTGCGAGTTCCTCCACTTCCATATGTAAACATTATGGTATTTATTGCACTAGATGTTCACTAATTCTGCAGCCTAACTGCAGCAGGTCAAAATTGTTCCAACATACTGTGAAACAAAAAAACTTCAATACTTTATGGTTTTTCAAGAAATGGAAATCTACTTTCTGGTTATTATTTAGCAACCATAATGAGAACCCTGGCAAAGTTGAGGAATGCTGCTCACCTAGTGCCTCTAGTGTCAAAATTAAAAAAAATAAATTTTCAAAATTTCTCAATATACCAATTTTATTTTTTCTCTTGTTATCACAAGTTGCAATACTGCCAACAGAAGAACGAATTTGATCAGATTAACATCACGTTTTTAAACAACAGAATGCTATACACACCTTGTCAAAATATAGACTTGCGGATAAAGAGATTATCAAATACATTCAAGCAAGCAGATGCAATTTCACACTAGTGAAAAAGACGAACTTGCAGTTCTAGACCACACTTTCAGCGGCTTTCACTTTCCAATTTCAAGTAACTTCACGATAGTCATGCAAGGGACTCATATTTCCCTTAGTAAGTTGAAACTGGGGGGAAAAAAAGTGGTTTCTACTGCATGGCTATAATTGAATTTTTGTGTATTAAATCAGACCTACAGTATAAAAGGCACTTGATAAAAAAACTCAATGCACTTTTGTCCAAATCTGTCTGAAAAGTTACAATCTATAGATGAAGAGTTTAGAGTTTTTCAAAACAGCTGTGTTTTCAGATTTTCACCACAGTAATATTCTTTTATGTGTAACAGACAATTACGTCTTTAAATATGTCATTTTAGGATCCTTAAAACTGCTGACTACAACAGAGGTTCCACTTATTACCGTCTGTCTTCTTTTCCTATGCTAAAAGAATTATTTTGGTCCTATTAACAACAATTTTGAAAAGCATTATTTTTGTGACTAAAATGCAGAGACATGGAGATATGAAGCTGCTATTTGATAAATCATTCCATTCTAGTATTAAACAGTTAAGCTGATGAGCAAGAAAAAGTTGTCCAATCCAACTTTCCTGTATGAATTGTTGGGAATTACTGGCATAGGAACAGAATGCAATGTTAAGGGCTCACTACAAGTAAATCTCCCAAGCAACATCAGGAGGTAATCTTTAGCCTCTTTCTAAAAGCACCACAGTTGTGGTGCTACCTAAGGATTTAAAAGGACAACAGAGAACAGCATACACATCTTGTAAACAACGTGTTTGGTTTCAATTATCTCTGCACCTGTGACCTATTCGGCATTAAGTCAACCACCCGCCCCTTTGACTGGAAAATATGTTGAAGAAAATAAAACAACTTTTAAACATTTTGCTTAAAATGCATGATGCCTTTCCTTAATTTTCACAGAAATTATGAATTTTGGTTCTTTAGAATACCCTAGAGACCCTTTTCAACTAAAGTTCACTAAATGCTCACATTGTATATTCTTAGATTACTGTATCACAACTCCATGTCTGCTACCTCTTTGAATACCTCTTACACTAAACAATAAAACTGCTTTAGTATAGTATTAACTTACAAATTTAAACACACGAAAGCCAAGAAGTTAAAATGAAGTTAAAACTCTCACAACATTTACTGTTCCACAAACTGCATCTATATATTACAATTACAGCCAAGTTGTCTATCGAATGTATGTCATTTTATACAGAAAATGCACTTTTTTATTCCGTGATTTTAAAGTCATTGTACTCTGTCAATAGCTTATTTTTTTATGTGATTGTCATTAAAATGAAATTGCAAACACTTTAAACTGCTACCACTAAAACAATTGTTCTGAAATTTACACCACTGAGGGAACCGGGAAGAGACACCTAATTCTTGCCTTGGCTGCCTCTGTTCCTCTGCCTCTCTTGGGAGGGTAATTTTTTGCCAGTCAGACAGAACATCAGCATACGCTAACTACATCTACATATACTCTGAAACATGAACTTCTTATGAAGATCGTGA